GACTCGACCTTCCAATACAAATACCGGCAACAGATCCGCGACCGCTATAACTTGGATCAGTTCTGGTGCGACGTATCCGTCGACGAGTTGGCCCTCTTTGACGACTCGCTGGCCGACAAGCTCTGCAGACAGCCGGTCGAGTACCTCAAGATCCTGGAGCTCGCGGCTACGGAAGTGGCCGATGAGGTGACCCGTCCGCGCGCTGACGACACGGCCGTCCAGTCCATGCAAGTGATGCTCGCGAGCGACGCCCACCCCATAGCGCTCCGGGAGCTGAAGTCGGACCAGATCTCGCGACTCGTGAAAGTGCCGGGCATTGTGATCGGCGCCTCCAATGTCAGGGCGAAGGCCATCAAAATGTCGCTCCAGTGTCGCGGCTGTCGCGAGATTGTCAACGACGTGAACATCAGCGCCGGCCTCGAGGGCTACCTATTGCCGCGTAAGTGTAACAGCGATCAGACGGGACGGGCGGTCAAGTGCCCGATCGACCCGTACTTCATAATACCCGACCGCTGCGAGTGCGTCGACTATCAGCTCCTGAAGCTCCAGGAGGTTCCCGAGTCGGTACCGCACGGGGAGATGCCGCGGCACCTGCAGCTCTACTGCGACCGCTACCTGTGCGATAAGGTAGTGCCCGGCAATCGGGTCACTATAGTGGGCGTGTATTCCATCAAAAAGGTGTCCAAACCGGCCAAAGGGGTGAACGAGTCGAGAGCGACGATCGGCATACGGGCGCCCTATATGCGAGTGGTGGGCATTGAGGTGAACAGCGAGGGCCCCGGGAGGGCGGCGTCCGTGCCCTACACGCCCGACGAGGAGCAACTGTTCCGCCACTTAGCCGCCACGCCCAACATCTACGACCGCATCGCCCGATCGATAGCGCCGTCCATTTTCGGCGCCACAGACATGAAGAAAGCCATTGCATGCCTGCTGTTCAGCGGTTCCCGCAAACGACTGCCCGACGGACTCAACCGCAGGGGTGACATCAATGTCCTATTGCTGGGCGATCCGGGAACCGCTAAGTCACAGCTGTTGAAGTTCGTGGAAAAGGTGGCGCCTATTGGTGTCTACACGTCGGGCAAAGGCTCGTCGGCGGCCGGTCTCACGGCTTCCGTAGTCAGAGATCCCGCTTCGGTAAGCAGTTGTGTCCACTCAATGGTGTCGCATGTCTTGAGAGTTATGATCTGATGATCTAATCCGTGGTCCACTCGCAGCGCAATTTCGTGATGGAAGGCGGCGCTATGGTGTTGGCCGACGGGGGCGTCGTCTGTATCGACGAGTTCGACAAAATGCGCGAAGACGACAGAGTGGCCATACATGAGGCGATGGAGCAGCAGACCATCTCCATAGCCAAGGCGGGCATCACCACAACGCTGAACTCCCGGTGCTCGGTGTTGGCCGCGGCGAACAGCGTGTTCGGCCGCTGGGACGACACCAAAGCCGACCAGAACATCGACTTTATGCCCACGATTTTGGCCCGTTTTGACATGATTTTCATCGTGAAGGACGAGCACAACGAGCGCCGGGACGCCACGATCGCCAAACACGTGATGGACGTACACATCAACGCGCAGAAGACGGTGGACGAGTCCTCCGCGGAGGGGGAACTCAGTCTGAATGTGTTGAAAAAGTTCATCTCTTACTGCAAATCGTGAGTTTCATATCTACTAATCACATACCGTTCCCATTGCTGCAAACTAACTCTACTAAACCCATTCACATCCCTTTCCCCCCACTCCCCTCTAGTAAATGCGGTCCGCGTTTGTCAACGACGGCCGCCGAGAAGCTCAAGAAACACTACGTACTGATGAGGAACGGTAGCCGCGAGCACGAGCACGAGATCCAGAAGCGGTCGGCCATACCGATAACGGTGCGCCAACTGGAGGCCATTATCCGCATATCGGAATCGTTGGCCAAAATGCAATTACAGCCGTTCGTGACGGAGGCGCACGTGGATGAGGCGCTCCGGCTGTTCCGCGTGTCGACACTGGCGGCGGCCATGTCTGGCGACCTGTCGGGCGCCGAGGGCTTCACCAGCGAGGAGGAGCACCAGTCGATGCTGCGGCTCGAGAAGCAGATTAAGCGCCGGTTCCCTATCGGCGCCCAACTCTCCCAACACGCCATCGTCGACGACCTCTCCAAACAGAACTTCAGCGAACAGTCCATTCAGAAGGTGTTGTTCTGTATGTTGCGAAAGGGGGAGATCCAACACCGCATGCAACGCAAAATGCTGTACAGGATTAAGTGATTTTTGGCTACCCGTCCACTTATGCCGCGATTTTTATTATTATGAATAGGTTTCGCATAGAAAATACACACAATTATAATCTTAAAATCCATTTTTTATAACACTTTTTATACAATTAATTATTATTTCGTTTTAATTATCAATTACTCACTAATCGCTAAACTTTGAAGCAATCGCTTCACCCGTTTGTGACACAATTGGACCGTATTTTCCAAGTGGTGTTGCATGACGTGTAAGCCCTTAACCGNACACTTTTTATACAATTAATTATTATTTCGTTTTAATTATCAATTACTCACTAATCGCTAAACTTTGAAGCAATCGCTTCACCCGTTTGTGACACAATTGGACCGTATTTTCCAAGTGGTGTTGCATGACGTGTAAGCCCTTAACCGTCAGCACAATGAGCTCTTTGAGGCCATCACCCGTCAGGTCTATGTATGCGATCGACTGTAAGGGGTGGGCGAACAGCCTCTCCCATAACAACTCGTATGAATCGCTTTCCGTATCGTATTTGTAAACAATTAGTTCCTGTAATCAATAAATAAGTTATTCAATAAAAACTAAAAACACGACTTTCCCCCGACATACGTGTCCGTAAGTGCCGATCGCTATCTCATTGGTGGCGTCCATATCGATGTCGGCCACGCATGAGGTGACGGTGGCGTCACAGCGCTTACTCGCCGGCAAAACCAGTCTCTTATTCAGACCGTTCGCTAAGACATCTCTGTATACCACGGATGACTCGATGGAATTGGTGACCAACAGGTGAACACCGGTGTCCACCACCACGTCCGGCGCGTCCATAGCGGCCCGGAGTTTGCGTTTGAACTCATTATCTCTTAATACGGACGCCGACTGATCCGTAAACAGTCTACACGACAGCACCGGCCCGTCGTAGTCATACCTCCACAGACCGGTGACCACATGCTTATCGGTGT